TAGTTTGAACAAAAAGCAAACATAATTTTTTGAGTGCAGTACAAAAATGGCCTCATTGAAACCCAATAAAATGCAAGAATGCATCTCAGTTACATTTAAGCAAACAAAAAAGAGTCTACTCTTTATCTTAAGGCTTCTATTTTGTTGGAAGGCTTCACATTTCTAAGGTTTTAATTAAACACGACAATTTACACTTGTTAAATTTTGCCACACTGTACATTTTTACTGTTTTCAGCTTTTGAGGACTGCAGGCCAAACAAATTAAAATGAAGTTCTTATAATTATGTGGGCATTGATGTCAAGAGATAATTTTGTATGTATGTACTAAGAAACTTTTTTTATGTAGAAATATTAATGTATCAAAATTAATATTGTTTCTGATCAATGGCCTTTCCAACACAGTCTAAGGGCTAAGGGATTTAAAGGCATGTCCGAATCCACTTTTGCTATTTTAAGGCCAGAAAAATACGGTCTAAGCCCCGGCGCATAGTCTAACAAGGGTTAATGAGTTATGGGTGTGTTTTGAGCATGACCTGCATTAAACCAATCAGAGTCTCATCTCCCATTCCCTTTAAAAGTCAGTTGCATCGCGCCATGGCACTTTTACTGAACGCTTTTACTGAAAACTGAACGCTTCATTATTGAGAAAACAGTTGAACAGATCATCTGCAGAGTGAGAATAAAAAATTAGCCTCCTCCAATCAGCCTTCTGACTTTCTCTATATTTTACTTTTACTCTTTACTTTACTCCTTTACTTTCGTGAATTAGGAAACGATGTTGTACTCACTCCGCTGAAGACATCCATTAGCCAACATATTTAATTTAGTTTGTTTAGCACAAAGATTTGTTTCAAAACTATTTCTAAATTCAGTTCTAATTTCCAGAAAACAAATAAATGAACAGAAAAATAATGAATTGTTGTCAAACAACTGAATTATATCCAAACACATGTCCTATTCTTATGCCCCATATGGTGATGCAGACGTCTCCAAAACCAGACAGGTGGACAAATCTAAACTTGTACTTATTAAAACAAAAATAAATATGCATATAATAAACAATACTAATAAGAACATTATACAAATGTAAATTGTCATAAATAAACTAAAAAAAGCCACCCGAGATGAGGCATAGAGGCAGTGGTTTTTATATTTATATAGAAAATAATAACTTTTGTAACATTTTAATACTTTTTCTTTTCCATATATAAATATATTTGTGTATTGCTGCACATCCTGTGTATGTTAAGCGTTTGAACGTGCATCACTAACGTGCTCTGCGCTGGACTTTATACCAGCTTTTAGTTGGTCAACTGTGCAGTTCCTTAAAATAGCAACGTTCCAATAATACACCTTAACACATAATACACCTCCTTTTTAGACCGGAACAGCCATGAGTCCACAAAGTGGCGCAAATGGATTTGCTATTTAAGCAACGTGGTGCGAAACGTGAAAATTACTGTTGCACTGGTCTAAAAATAGCAACAAATCGCGCCAAACACATCTTGCGCCGGGTGTATAATAGGACCCTAAAAGTTCTTTTAAAAAATCTGCTTATAGCCTTTGCTATATGGGGGAAACATCTTCCAAAACGCAGTGGCAGAATACATACAAATATTATGTTTTATTTTAAGGGGTGAAAATCCTTAGGATAATTTTTTTTGCACATAAATCTAGTACTAAGGAAACAAATTTTATCTGAGTGAAGGTGAGAAAAAATTGTCAAAATGTTCTGTTAACCTTTATTATCTGTTTAACAATGGTTTGATGAAGGGGTTAAAATCATGCAAAATTCATTCGAACGTCTCAAACACCAATGCTGTTGGCTTACTAATATGCAGATGTTCGTGCGCACACACATTTGGCCTTGCATGCTTTTTGTCATTGTCATTTGTTTTAATTTCCGCGTGTTTGAGAACCTGCAATCGAAACCCCATTAATATTTCATTATCCGTGGGAAATAATCCCTCTACATGTGAATGTCACAGTCTGACATGAGGAGGGGATTTGCAAATTAGGTCACAATTGATCTAGTTATGCTGTCGACTTTAAATAATGTATCATGCGCCTCGTGGGGGGGGCATCTTTAAATAGCAGTGCTCTTTATTTACTTTTATGCCTTTTATACATCTTTTATTGCAAAGAGCAATCGATAGATAGCTAAACTAGGCTTTTTTATTTCAGGAATTGGTTTATAGGCAGCTGTTTGGGTTTTTGAAATGGGATGAGAGTGTGTGAGTTTAGCCGCGTGCCGCCTCGCTGTGAGCGTCTGAAGTGTTGTAATACTCGGATGTCTCTGGCTTGCTGAGAGCCACACAAAAGGCTGACCAAGCGACATGGTTCTCGGTCGTGTTCAGCTCCCTCCCCCAGACTCCCACATCTCTGCACATCAATACAGCTGGGCCAGTCTGCACTGCAGCCCTTATATAACACACATACACACACATAGAGAGACAGAGACAGAGAGAGGTAGTCCATTTACTAAAGAATAATTAAGAGCTGACACACCTCCAATGTGTGCGTGCCTGTGTGTGTGTGTGTGTGTAGAAAATTAAAACAGATAAAAGGAAAAGATATATAGGTTGATGTTTCAGATCTGGTTTGATGATGGGATTTTGTCAAATTGAAAACATTCCATCAGAAAATGTAATGTGTTTAAATATTGATTACTTGGTGTCTTAAGGGAATTGAATCAGTTTTAATGTTTTTAGGATGTATTTAGGAGTGTTTAGAAAATCAAAGGGGTTCAAACTGGAAAAAGCAAGAAATTAAATTAAATAAATGAATACATAAATTAATACATTAAACAGATAAATTAATTAAATAAACACATTAATATAGAAAGTAACTAAAAATAATTAAATAGTTATTAAGTTATATTAGTTTATTTAATAAAATATATACTAATATGAATGAAATATGAATGAATGAAGTAAAATAAATGCATTAAAAATAGAAAGGCACTGAATTAGATTGAATTGAATTAAATAAATGAATACATTAAATAATAAATTAAATAATTGAAGTTAATAAATCAAACAAATTATACATTTAATAAATGAAATAAATAAATATGAAGTAATTATATTGAATGAATAGTTAATTAAATGCAGAAATAGAAATGCACAATAGTAAAATACATAAACAAAATGGATTAAAACTTCATAAATGAATAATTTAAACAATATAGTAATAACCTTAATTAAAGTTAATTAATAAAAAGGCTATTTTCTCTATTAAGATTAAAATAAATGATCCAAAAGTTTTATTAAAATAAATAAATAAATACAAATCTGCCTCAAGGTTGGATGTGTTGGACATTCAGAGATGCTTTTCTGCATACCTCGGTTGTAATGAGTGGTTGTTTGAGTTAGGCCCAATCTTAATCCTAATTCTACACCATAGCCCTTCCCCTTCCCCCTACTCCTCATTTTGTGCGTTCACGTCGAGGGGTAGGGGTGTCCCAATTCTCTTTAGCTTGAAGTCGTAGGACTAAGGGGAAATGGTAAATACCCTTTAGAATGAAGATTTTTCAGGACCACACTCAAAACTAAGGGGTAAGAAAATTTACCAGAATACACCAGCCAAAACGACAGATAGTTACACCCGGAAATAAGGAGATCCAAAAATTTGCATTTTTTTGTCATTACTACAAGTTTTTACAACAAACAAACACATTTTTAATATATTCATAACCGCTAAACATCGCAATGTATAATTTACAATCATAAATCCTGTACAGCAGCTCCATAACATTCTGACACTCGAATCCCCTGTCAGAAAAGTCCAGTGGCTGGGAATGAGCTTTTTACGCTGTCTGCTATAATGTTAATGTTGTATTTGGTGTGTTTATATAGATAAATATGGCCACTGTATTAAATGCACTGTATGATGATCTTATTGTCACGTTAGATCAATAACATATTATATACGATAACATAATATATGCCTTTAATGATGATGATAAATACCTTCCTGAAGATAACAGCCTGATCTCACGAGAAAACGTAAGTATTTTACGTTTTGCCGGGTTAGTGGCTAATTCGTACAAATTCGTACGAGTTCAGTCATACGAAATTGTACGATTTTAAAAAGGAGATGTGGCACCTAACCCCACCCCTAAACCCAACCGTCATTGGGGGATGAGCAAGTCGTACTAAATTGTACGAAGTAGATCGTACGAATTCATACGAATTAGCCACTAAAAATAAAAGTTACGAATTGCCGTGAGATTGTGTTGAAGATAAATACCAATAAATAACATAACTGGAATAACTATAGCAAGTCGCGATCGTCTGATCTCCTATGAAGAGATCGCGATGACATATGATGACGTGTGCTGGTAAATTTTGAAGCCCTTCCCCGTAACCCTCGGTTTCAAGGGCCAAGAGGAAAGGGGAAGGGGTACAGAATAGAATTGGGATTGGGCCTTACCGTTGCCTTTCTATCAGCTGGAACCAGTCTGGACATTCTCTTCTGACCTCTGGCATCAACAAGGCATTTGCGCACACAGAGCTGTCGCTCACTGGATATTTTCTCTTTTCTGGACCTTTTCTTGTAAACCCTAGAGATGGTTGTGCATGAAAATCCCAGTAGATCAGCAGTTTCTGAAATACTCAGACAAGCCCGTCAGGCACCAACAACCATGGCACGTTCAAAGTCACTTAAATCAGCTTTTTTCCCAATTCTGATGCTCAGTTTGAACTGCAGCAGATCGTCTTGACCATGTCTACATGCCTAAACGCAACTAAAAAGTTGCTGCCATGTAATTGGCTGATGAGAAATTTGCATTAACGAGCAGTTGGACAGGTGTACCTAATAAAGTTACATAATAATATATTTAAATAATATTGATAATTTTAATATACATGTATATTATAAAATATACAAGTATTGTTTTCGTAACACCTCACATAATAATGCTAGGATTGCTTTTTCATTTCAACATTGCTCAAGAAATTCAGAATTATTTATCATTTGCTGTGTGTGTGTGTTTTCAGGCCGGTAATGGGTTAAGAAGAAACATTTCTCTGCTGTTCAGGACTGTCCTAGATGCCCGCACAGACATGATGTGTTTCTCATGTATGTGGTATGTCGATCTATAATTCATGGCTTATCCCTCCATCTCTGTCCTTCTCTTACCACCAGAAATAGCGAACTGGTCCAGCACTGCGAACTGTATGTGCATCCTAAATGTGTCTCCTACAGAAATATAGAGTGTGAGAAGATGGAAAACACGATTATAATGACTTGTTCAAGCCATCGCCTCCACCTAACCTGTAGTCTTTCAGGAAAGATTGAATAAAATAATCAAATTTGAAGTCTGCGCACAGACGTACTGTAGCGTAGCATTGCACCAGCCTCAGAGGCTTGCTGTGGTTATAAATGATGTCCAATCTCATCTTCAGAAAACTAGGACGCAGACCAACTGGAGAACTTTCGTCCAGCCAAATGTTGCACCCAAAAATATGCTGTTTAAAAGGAGGAAGAGAACTGTCTGTTCTCAAGCCCAGGCACAATATATAGATGCTCTATTTTAATCCATATCAAAAGAGATCTGTGAGGAGCTAGAAGATGCTCCTTTTGTGAAAGACTTACTATTATTTTTAAACCGTGTTCTGTGTGCTGGCATGGATTAATTATTTATGACAGGGAAGCAGGGAACATTTTTTAGCGTTTCAAAGTAATGTGTGATTGTTTCATTATTTTTATCTTACCCTAAATATTGTTTTATAAATATTATATTACATTTATTATATTATAAATTCATTTATTGTATTATAAACATTGTATTACATTTATTATATTATAAATTCATTTATTGTATTATAAATATTGTATTACATTTATTATATTATAAATTCATTTATTGTATTATAAATATTGTATTACATTTATTATATTATAAATTCATTTATTGTATTATAAACATTGTATTACATTTATTATATTATAAATTCATTTATTGTATTATAAACATTGTATTACATTTATTATATTATAAATTCATTTATTGTATTATAAATATTGTATTACAGTTATTATAAATGTATATATAAAAATATTTTACTGATTCCTGGAGAACAATGGGACAGTAAACAGTGCCGTATTGTATTCGAATTTGAGAAGTCAAAATAAAAATAAACAATTATTAATAATATATACATTATATTAAAATATAAATATGCAGCCTTTTGCTTTAAATTTAAATCAGAATCAGTTTTATTGCCAAGTGTGCTTCACACAAACAAGGAATTTGTTTTGGCTACAGAAGCTTCCAGTGTATATAAAGTGACAAGACAAAATAAATATGAAAAAAAGACGATAAACATTAAACAGAGATGCAGTTAGTAAGGAAATATAGATGTTGAATTGTATGTACAGATTTGTTATAAATATACAGGTTATAAGGTGCTGTGTACAAATGCGAATGTAGAAAGTGCATTGATATGTGTACAAGTGCATATTCTATTTCATTACACTATACACTAAAATACATTTTCCTCACAAATAGAGATATATCAAATATTGTTTCTATTTATCAAGACATGTTTCATTTGAATATAATATATGATGTAATCATGATATTATAATACACTACATATGCATAAATTACATTTTATCCCTATGTTGTGTATTACTATTGTATATATAAAAATATTTTATTAATGATTTCTGAAGAATATAGGGACAGTGAACAGTGGCGTATTGTATTAAAATAAAACATTTATTAATAATTTATATAATAATATATAACAATGCGTGTGTCTCTCTATAAATAGTTGTAGTCAGAATAATTAGCCCCCTGAATTATTAGCCACACTTGTTTTTGTCCCTCAATTTCTGTTTAATGGAGAGAAGATTTTTTTCAACACATTTCTAAACATAATAGTTTTAATAACTCACCTCTAATAACTGATTTATTTTGTCTTTGCCATGATGACAGTAAATAATATTTGACTAGATATTTATCAAGACACTTCTATACAGCTTAAAGTGACATTTAAAGGCTTAACTGGGTTAATTAGGTTAATTAGGCAGGTTAGGGTAATTAGGCAAGTTATTGTACAACAGTGGTTTGTTCTGAAAAATTATAGCTTAACTTAAACTTAAAAACTTAAAACTTAAAAACTGCTTTTATTCTAGCCGAAATAAAACAAACAGGACTTTCTCCAGGAGACAAAATATTATCAGACATTCTGTGAAAATTTTCCTGCCCTGTTTGACATAATTTGGGAAATATTTAGAAAATGATATAAAAAAATCAAAGGGGGTTTAATAATTCTGACTTTAGCTGTATATAATAAATAATTGCTGATATTTGTCAACACATGCTTTATTTGAAATATTATGTAGTCATCATAATATATTTCATTACACTATACACTAAAATACATTTTCATCCCAATTAACGGATATGATAATTATAGTTATATTATATTTACATTTTTATTTCATTTAAATTATATTATGCATCATTTATTATTATGTTATGCTTAAAAATATAATTAAATTAACTGAATTTGATACATCTGAGACATAAACACCCTACATGGTGTAAGCCCTACATATCAAAACAAATGCTTATTATATTATGCTTCATTTATTTTCCTTCAGCTTAGCCCCTTATTAATCAGGGGTTGCCACAGTGGAATGAACCGCCAACTATTCCATATATTTCACCACCCTATCCCAGCACCCATACACACTGATTCACACTCATACACTACAGCCAATTTAGTTTTTTCAGTTCACCTATTGCGCATGTCTTTGGAATTGTGAGGGAAACCAGAGCACCTGGAGGAAACCCACACGAACATGGGCAAAACATGCAAACTCAGAAATGCCAACTGACCCAGCCAGGGACTTGAACCAGCAACCTTCTTGCTGTGAGGCAACAGTGCTAACCACTGAGCCACTGTGTTTCCTGCTTATTATATTATATTATATTATATTATATTATATTATATTATATTATATTATATTATATTATATTATATTATATTATATTATATTATATTATAAATTATTTTATATTATATTATATTATATTATATTATATTATATTATAAATTATTTTATATTATATTATATTATATTATATTATATTATATTATATTATATTATATTATATTATATTATATTATATTATATTATATTACATTATATTATATTATACTATATTATATTTGTGCTTATTTTATATCATACCATGCTTATTATTATTATTTAATTAACTGAGACATTAATTAAATGAGAAACTCATATCTAGTACCAGAACACCTTGGCAACCTTTTAGCAACACTCTGGCATTTTGGCAGTGGCTTTTGCACCGCTCACAATACTTTCAAACAAATTTTAATGGCATCTGTTGTCAGGTTTAATAAATTAGTTCACCATAGGAGTTCTCGGCCTGCGGCAAGTTCGCAAGAGCAAACAACAGGACTAACAGAGAGAACAGCCAAGAAAAACAAGACAAAAGCACAGCATTGTTAAATCACATTATCTAGCATTGCTAAATCTCATTCGTCACTTTGCACAAGCCTGCGAGCAAGTCCAAAAACAAGTGTACCGTCTCAAATGAAAATTATACATGTATAAGTCTTCCAGTGTACAAAAGGGCTTTTCTGACGATATGGGTGGTATTGGAGTCAACGGGATGCTCCGGCATGCTGATCAAAACCGAGCTGGCAGCCTTTATAGACACAGTTCAGGAATCCCACACCCGCCGAGCTGTACGATTTATTGCAAATTGGCCAATCGATGGATTTGGAGCTCAGGCTGGACATACTGTCCACACATGGCGGTCTCGAGCTATCAGATTCCTGGCTCGTTCCTCTATTTGTCATGCTGATCGCTCCATCTGTGAGCATCGGTTTTGGCTCTGTGCTCGGAATTCCCTGTGGAATCTGTTCATTAAAATGTTTGATAAAAAGAAGATGAAATATGTTGAAACCACCACTGCCTTTATTCACCTCCTCTCTTTTAAAGTGTTCAGAAGCTCTATTATTTCTGAAGAAAGTCTTTTTCTTTTTTGCTTTATCATGAAGGTTATATTGAGGTAACGGAGTCATTTTGTGGTTCTTTCAGGATCCCCATGAGGACCATCTGTCAGCGCATGAAGGTGAGAAGACTGATGAAGGTGATCTTGAAGCGTTAGTTCACCTAAAAATGACAATTCTGTTATTAAAGGGATAGTTCACCCAAAAATTTAAATGTACTGTTAATTTACTCACCTATCAAAGATGTACATGCCTTTTGTTCTTCAGCAGAACATTATAGAAGTTATTTAGCTGAATCTGTGGTGATTGGTGATTTACAGTGCATCCAGAAAGTATTCATAGCACTTCACTTCTTCAACATTTTTTTTAATGTTACAGCCTTATTCTAAAATGGATTAAATTCATTTTTTTCCCTCAAAATTCCACACACAATAGCCCATAATGACAATATGAAAAAAGATTTGTTTAAATTGTTGCAAATCTATAAAAAAAAAAAAAAAAAACTTAAAATCACATGTCCATAAGTATTCAGAGCTCTAAATTAAGCTCAGGTACATTCTGTTTCCACTGATCATTCTTGAGATGTCTCAGCAGCTTAATTGGAGTTCACCTGTGGTAAATTCAGTTGATTGGACATGATTTCAAAAGGCATACACCTGTCTATATAAGGTCCCAGGTTGATAGTGCATGTCAAAGCACAAACCAAGCATGAAGACAAAGGAATTGTCTGTAGACCTCCGAGAAAGGATTGTCTCAAGGCACAAGGCAGGGGAAGTTTACAGGAAAAAATTCGTCTGAAAGTTCCAATGAGCACAGTGGCCTCCATCATTCATAAGTGGAAGATGTTTGGAACCATATTTGGACTCTTCCTAGAGCTGGCCGGCCATTTAAGCTGAGTGATCGGGGGAGAAGGGCCTTAGTCAGGGAAGTGATCAATAACCCGATGGTCACTCTGTCTGAGCTCCAGCATTCTTCTGTGTAGAGAAGAGAACCTTACAGAGGGACGACCATCTGTGCAGCAATCCACCAATCAGGCCTGTATGGTAAAGTAGTCACTCCCCAACTAGAATTTGCAAAAAAAGAAAAAGGCATCTGAAGGACTCTCAGACCATAAGAAACATTATTGTCTGGTCTGATGAGACTAAAATTGAACTCTTTGGAGTGAATGCCAGGCGCTACTTTTGGAAAAAAAAACAGGCGACGCTAAACACCAGGCTAACACCATCCCTACAGTAAAGCATGGTGGTGGCAGCATCATGCTGTAAGGATGTTTTTCAGCAGCAGTAACTGGAAGACTAGTCAGGATAGAGGGAAAGATGAATGCAGCAGTGTACAGACACATCTTGAATAAAAACCTGCTTCAGAGTGCTCTTGACCTCAGAATGGGGCAACGGCTCATCTTCCAGCAGGATAATGACCCAAAGCACACTTCCAAAATATAAATGTTGTGGCTTCACAACAACTCGGTGAATGTCCTTGAGTGGCCCAGCCAGAGCCCAGACCTAAATCCTATTGAAGATCTCTGGAGAGATCTGAAAATGGCTGTACAACATTACTTCTTATCCAACCTGATAGAGCTTGAGAGCTACAGCAAAGAGGAATGGTTAAAAATTCCCAAAGACAAGCCAAACTTGTGGTATCATATTCAAAAAGACTTGAGGCTGTAATTGCTGCCAAAGGTGCATCAACTAAGTATTAAGCAAAGGCTGTGAATACTTCTGTACATGGGATTTTTCAGGTTTTTGATTTTTATAAATTTGCAACAATTAAAAAAAAAAAACTTTTTTCACATTTTCATTATGGGGTATGGTGTGTAGAGTTTTGAGGAATTAAATGAGTTTAAACCATTTTGTAATAAGGCTGGAACATAAAAAAATGTGGAAAAAGTGAAGCGCTATGAATACTTTCCAGATGCACTGTATATAATAGCAGTCAATGGTAACCCCTGAAACCGTCTACTACTCGAGTAGGTAGTACTTTTGAATTTGAATTTACTACACGATCATTAGAAAAATATGTTCTATATAGTATAAATGGAATTTGGACGTCCAACATCCACCATTAGTCATTATCACCTGACCTACCCACATCGGTTGTATCGCTTCACTACAATTCATAAATTCTCTCATGTGGCATCATGGAATAGCATAGCGTTTATCGGTATCTGGCCGGCAGTAGTAGGTCATTCGGATACTTCTGGCATACTGATTTTTGAATACTGAACTATGAATTCAGACACACCCCTCAGCTCGCATACTGTTTTTAGTCACATACTACTATATAATATGGAAGTATGCGAAAGTATATGTAAACACATACAGTTAAAGTCAGAATTATTAGCCCCTCTGTTTTTTGTTTAACGGAGAGAAGATTTTTTTCAAAACATTTCTAAACATAAATTTTTAATAACTCATTTCTAATGACTGATTTATTTTATCTTTGCCATGATGACAGTAAATAATATTTGACTAGATATTTTTCAAGACACTTCCATACAGCCTAAAGTGACATTTAAAGGCTTAACTAGGTTAATTGGGTTAACTAGGCAGGTTAGGGTACTTAGGTAAGTTATTGTATAATGATGGTTTGTTCTGTAGACTATCAAAAAAAAAAGAAATAGCTTAAAGAGGCTAATCATTTTGTCCTTAAAATGGTTCATAAAAATGTAAAACTGCTTTTATTCTAGCCGAAATAAAACAAATAAGACTTTCTCCAGAAGACAGAATATTATCAGACATACTGTGAAAATTTCCTTGCTCTGTTAAACATAATTTGGGAAATATTAAAAAAAAAAAAAAAAATCAAAGCTAGGCTAATAATTCTGACTTCAACTGTACAAATGAGTTCAATCCAATAGCTGTGGCTCCTGATGACACACTGAGGCCTTGTAAAGCAAAATGACTGGTCTGTGGTAGAAATTGAACTTTATTTACCAAATTTTGTACATTTTTCATCCACAGCCTGGTCAGCACGGTGCATGTACGAGTGTAGTCCTGTCGCTTTAATGATGAATGTAGGACGGTGCGCACTTGGGCAGGAGGTCAAGTGACAGTTTGTTGATAGATGTTGATGATTGTGGAGGCAGCACAGGAGCTACAGGATGGGTTCTCAGAAGGCTTCTACTAGGTAGCAAGCCTTCTGATTGGTTAGCACTGAATGTCCAACAAAGTTCAGATTTTTCAGCTTGAGCAATTCATACGTTATGCACGTCAAACGCCTCGACACTTAATTTGTTTCACCTCATTTTGCGCTAATCGTTCCACAGGATGTCTGTCGTGTCTTTGAATTGACTTAACATGTAAATCACTCACTCTTAGCGCTTTATGCGTGTCTGGTGTGAACGCACCATCATTCATCTGCAGAACACAGAATAAGATATTTTTAAATATCTGAAAATGTATTTATTTTACTTTAAATTAAGATATACATTTAGAAGGAGACTAAAATCATCCTCAAAACAGTTTTCAGTAGTTCAATCACCAATACTCGTGTGTGCTCAAAAAATAAAATAACGACTTTATAGAAGTTTTTCTTTCGTACACACTAATGTAGCTTTATAACATTAGTTTGAGCCACTGGAGACACATGGACTGTTATTTTTCTGGATATTGAAAGCTTCATGGAGGACGAGAAAGCTGAAATTCTTCCAAATTATTTTTATTTTGGTTGTGAAGATGAACAAAGGTCTCAGTGGACTGGAATGACGTGATGGTGAGTAATTAATGACAGAATGAAGAAAACGTTACTCGAAAGGAACTGTTGTGAATCAGTAAAGAGATTAAAGAGATTGTTTTGAACACACTGGCTGCTTAAGTATTTGCTAAACATTTTATTTTTAACATAAAAAAGTTACAGACTGAAGGTGTAAACTGAACCCAGCAGGCACAGGAAGTCAGCATGATGTCAGATTGATGCTGTACCCCAACGTCTTGGGTTGTTGCTTTTTTTTGGAAATGAAAAATATCAATTTCTAATGTTGTTACAGCTTGACGTTGTTTGGACATTACCAATATAACGTCTATCAGACATTGGATTTTGGTTGCCATACCTGACAAATAAATGTCAGTCTTTGACGTCAATATGATGTTGGTTTAGGATGTTGGCTCAACATTGGATTTTGGTTGCTTTCCAGCACAACCTAAAATAAACCAAATATCAACGTCATTTCACGTCCTTTTTGGACATCAAAATAACATTGTCCTTAGACACTGGCGACCTAACCTAATATTAATGTCTTATGATGTTGTGTGTCTGCTGGGAAGGTTCACCTCCAGAAGAGAATTCTGTCATCATTTATTCATTCTCCACTTTTTCCAAACCTGTTTGAGTTTCTTTGTTCAGTTGAAGACAAAAGAAGATGTTCTGAAAAATGTTGGAAACCAGCAGCCATTGACTTCAATTATATTGAATGAAATATGTTTTTACTATGTATTTCAATAGCTGCTTTTTTACAACATTCTCCAGAATAACTTGTTTTGTGTTTGTGTTTTGTTTTGTGTAAGAAATGAAGGTTTAGAAGCACTAGAGTGTGAGGAAATCTTCATTTTGGGGTGAACTAGCCCTTTAATGCAGATATTCTGTTAGTTTCTGTATTGCTCGATCAGCAGACTCAAGGTCAGCAGCAGCACGTCAGAGGTGCTCTAAAAACTTGTCCCACTTCCAAAGTGCATGCGATTCAAAGCAACGTCACTGCCTGAAGTTAAAAACTGCTCATTCACCTGAGAAGTCCTCATGTGGTTTATAAAGAAACAAATAATGTGGAAAACTATCCTATGAATATTGCATCTGTGGCTAATGTGATTATGAAAATATGTGCATAATCAGTTCTCCAGAAACAAATATCATGTCTATTTTGCATTTGTCTGGCCTGAATGCTGTATCAGTATAAGTAATGCAGCTGTCAGAGCCTTCTCCACTGTAAAGAGAAAACAAACTGATTTTATTCACATTTATATTTAGAAATCGAGAACATAACTTCATATTCATCATCCTGCACTAGCCTGACCATGAAAAGATCTTATGATGTCTATTATAAATATAAATACGAGTAAAATGACAGTTTGTTTTCACTCCCTGCTGAAAAATCCAGCTTAAACCAGCCTAGGCTGGTTGGCTGGTTTTAGCTGGTCAACCAGGCTGGTTTTAGAGGGGTTTTGGCCATTTCCAGGCTGGTTTCCAGCCATTTCCAGTCTGGTCTTAGCTGGTCAGGCTGAAAAATGACCCATCCAGCTAAAACCAGCTTGACCAGCCTGGTTTAAACTGGACATAGCTGGTTTTGGCTGGGCTCCCAGCCTGTCTAGGCTGGTCAAGCTGGTTTTAGCTGGTCATCTCCCAGCCTGACCAGCTAAGACCAGGCTGGAAATGGCTGGAAA